AAGATTGTAACTTCAAATTATCAACAGGATAATTTATATGCAGACTACAAATTAGCTTCACATATCAAGTGTGATATGATATTTCTCCACTCAAAACAGTTAAATTTTATTATTTAACTGTTGAGAGTGGAGAAATATGTATTGCACAAGATTTGATGGTAAAATTTGTTTCATTAAAGATTTTTAAACGATATGCATGCAGACAAATTTAATCCTTCTTTTCCATTGATCTTTCTATGTTACATCATCAGGCATTCATGGTCACCTATTTTCATGATGCCATAATAGGAAATTAAGAGGAAAACAAGAAAATTTGACGTCATAATTGAATTTTGACCAATGAAGAACTGAGATCAAACGAATCGCAAATTGATTAAATAAAAATAATCATCAGGTCAGGAAAAGGATAAATCTGCTAAGAATTAGAGAAAAAAGACCCAGCAACTGTTGCACTAATTTCAGGTAATATTTCTAGAAGCAAATGTCTGGAAACTGAAAAGTAACCTTCAATTGCAATTTAACTTTTCTCTGGTAAAATTAATTGATGACTTAGCTTTTTTAATTTGATTATTATCAAAAAAGAGCTTTATAGTTAAATGTATTTCCAAAGCAGAGATGACCTTTATCAGCTGATTTCAGAGTTTTCCTTAGAAAATACTTGAAATTTCTAATGAAAATTACCAACCAGCAAATTTAATAGGCATCAGATCACCTAAAATAGAGGACATTGCACAGATAAGAAAAAACAATCATAGAAGACTTTAAGTCTTTAGATTTGTGCAAAGATACTAAATATTTCAGTTCAACAAATATTCTTCTTCATTCTCAATGTTTTTATACAATATATAAACCCAAGATTAAAATTTTAAAATCTTAAGTTGTCAGATCTATTGATCAAATTTCACAAATGTGCCATTCACATAAAAAAATCACATTCCAAGGAAGACATGTGTCGGCAGCAGCCATCTCTAAATAAAATAAGCAGAAATAGCCCAGTTTAATTTTTGGTATAGGAAATTCAAGAAATAGTAAAAGAAGAATGTGTTTGAGGACAAAAATGCCCCCGCTCAAGCTTTGCAACAAAAATGGGACAGATGGATGGATGGAAAGACAGAAAGAAGGAAGGATGGAAAGATGGACAGTCAAGGGTAACACTAAACGCCCCTGTCGCCTACTGCGGGGGCATAAAAAACACAACTGCAATACTGCATGTCCTAGAGAAGCTTCTTTGCAAGTTTATCTAAACTCAGTAACTCGAAACATAACTGAATCATCAACCAGCTCGTGTCAATTTGAAAAAAAGTTGCACCACAATATGTGTTTGATCACATTTGCCATTCATTTTCATGGGAATCAATTTTTGTGGAATAGGAAAATTAAATAATTGTGAATACATGATTTTGTGGATTTGCCAAAGGCTTTATTTTTATACTTTGTTTAAGATTTCTAATCATCGCCGTTTTTCAAATCTACAAAATTTATTATTCCACTGTATGTAAATATTGATAGCAAAATCAACATTTGATTGGTTGAGACAATCCCATATGACATTGAACAAAACTTCATATTCCCCTCTGAGTATCATATTCCCCTTTGAAATGTCAGGAATACCTTGTACGATGTTACGCACGGTTAATGTACATAATGTTTTGAAAGTTTTTTAAAGATAGTGATAGTATAGTCATTATTTTGTTCAAAACTATTTCTGATGTAAAACAAAATAGAGATAAACTTGAACTTGTCATAGAATAATAATGAATCTACAGTAAAGTTGATGATAGGGACGATTTTGACCTTTTGTGAGGTGTGAGCTCTTTACCTTTATAAAGACTTTAAAGAAACCCTAAACAGAAAAGAATTGTTTTTTCTTTTGTATATATATTTGTTATCTCCTAGCATTTCACAAGAAGATTTACCGTCCAATAAGCATTCATCCCACATGTTTTAATTTCATTTTCAAATTGCAACTGCTTCAGCATGGATACAATGCATTTACTAAAATCAAAGAAATTTACATGATTTCTAAATATTTACATAATCTTGAAGTAATAAATTGCTTCTTAAATCAACAAAGACTAATAAAAGGCTCCAGGTCAAAGAAATATTAATTTTCTGTCTCTCATAATCAATTTCCCTTCAATAACGAAATGTCAGTTTCTGACCTTTTAATAACCTGGAGAGGAAAAATCAACAAACAAAACATATAATCATGATTTACTTAAATTGATGCAAACAATCATATTCCAATCATGTGTAAACATTGTTCAACTTTATTCTGCAGCAAATACCTGCCAATAATTTTAGGATTTATTTTTCCATTAATTTATCATCCAAATTTAATTGCATAAAATTCCCATGTGTGCAATGCATGTCTCTTTAAAATTTCATATTGGACACATGCATCTGTTATTTTAGATTGAAATGCCAGAACAGGATACATGAGAATAACGAATTTTGTCTGGATTATACATGTACTTCACGGCAAACGGTATTTTTCGCATTAAACATATATGGAAATGAAATGTATAACCTAACAATAAAACATATCATTAATTCTGAATTACTCAATCTTGTCAAGTTTGTTCTTAATACAATTAAGAAAGACAAATTACTCACTGGTTTAATGCATCTAACTTTTTTTGTTTTAATCAAATAACAATATTGCTTGTTTGGTAAGAAAAAATTCAATAAGAACAAATGTGTCTGTTGTCGGCTAATTATCTCTTTTTCTTAACAATTTCTGTTTTTAATTCATCGTCTCATGGTAAAGTGCTTATCAAAAGTACAACAAGTTGACAGTTAAGTCCTTGACTTCGTTAATTCAAAGACTTTAAAATCAGCAGCATATTGGAGTATGAACAAAGACTGGTCAGCTCGAAATATGCAAAATATGTGTAAAACATTTTTATCATGATGAAGAAATAATCTTTCAATCAGTTTAATTGAGGTCTGGAGCTGGCATGTCAGTTAACTGCTAGTAGTCCTTTGTTAATTTATGTTGATCATTGTCATTTTGCTTAGTTTTTTCTGTTATCTATTCTAACATCGGACTCGGACTTCTTTTAGACTGTGTTTTACTGTGCATATTGCTGTGTGTTTGTTTATTCCACATTGGCTAATATATAGGGGAGGGTTAAGATCTCACAAAACATCCTCTATTTAATTAACCCCGACATTTTTGCGTCTGTCCTAAGGCTGGTCTTGTTAGTCTTGTATATTTTGTTTTTTTTAAATTTTGGTTCATTTATATGTTTCGAAATTCAGTGTGATGTCCATTTTCACTGAACTAGTATAAATTATTGTTTAGAGGCAAGCTGAAGCCTGCCTCCGGATGGGGATTTTCTTGCTGTGTTGGAGACCCATTGGTGGCCTTGGGCTGTTTTCTGTTCTTTGGTCGGGTTGTTGTCTCTTTGACACACTCCCCATTTCCATTCTCAATTTTATGTTATATTTTCCACTTGATATTAAACATCTATCAAAAAACCTATTTATTTTTAATTCCAAAATAACTTTGTATCATTTTTTTACTTAAAACTGCATACTAGTCTAGTCTGAGACAAGTGTTCAATGTTAGAGCAACCATTAAGTTGTTGACTTCATTCAAATTGCCTTAAACAGACCAATAGATTATTTCCTTTCAATTGAGTCGCATTTGTCTAATAGTATTGAACATGTTTAAAAGCTTGCCATATGGTATAGTCAATGTTACAGCTTAAATGATGGAATCAAAGAATGGTACCTACAACATGTCATAAAAAGGACTGCTTGCACCACACCTTTAGTAGCAACTCACAGAATATATATAGTATTCATATTTAGTTAATCAAAAATAGTACATGTATATATTGCTAAAAACAATGAAAAATACATTTAATTTTCTAAAGATTTAGAAGGGCATTTTTTGTCAATTTGAGGTGCATAAGGCTAGCAGTAATGACTTAACTGGTGGACCATTCCGTCTATCTCTGACATACAGGACCATTTTCTCAATCATTTTTCACAATTATAAACATTTTTTTTTCAGTTTTATACATGTAATTTATTACTTTCTAAATAAATTACAGTAAGCTCAGTGTGATCTGAATAAGCAAGAAACATTTGTCATATTTGAAATAATATTGCAGAATATTTCTACCATATATGGAGGATAAAGAAACTTCTATTCCACACATCACTTGTAGCCATATTCCTTTTTTCCTCATTTATGATATCATCAATGTTTTACTGGAAATGAGTAACATGACTGGTGCCATTAGTGGAGCAGTCAATGTTTTACTGGAAATGAGTAACATGACTGGTGCCATTAGTGGAGCAGTCAATGTTCATCCTTCATGAGCACCTGAGTTCAACTGAGTTCATTCTCTGTTTTTGGTGGGGTGAGTGATGCTCATTTTTTGTTTTCTGTGCAGTGTTGTATGGATTGTTGTTCTATTTTTATTTGCCATGATATTGTATTTCTTCTACTTATAACTATGGCTTTTTATTGCCCCTTGGTAAATATCTATTTTTCCTTTTTTGGTACAGCAGTTTTTGACATTTAATTCTATTATCGTTTTTTTTTTTAAAATGTCCCAAAATTATCTTCCAGCACTCATACTATGAATTTTTTACTAATATATGTAGTATCAAAATCGGTCAATTTGTCCCAAAAGAAGAAGCAATTCTAGATCTAGCAAATTCAAAGAACAGAAGATAACATTCTTAATTATGAATAGAGGGAATAAGCCCAAATGTTTGCTCAAAATTGCTTATCAAAAATTTTAACTGTTATTCTTCTAGGACACTACATATGGAACCTGTTCACCAACATTTTAATAATAGTTAAAAATTTAATTTTACACTTTCTGTAACATGTAGATTTTTCAGAGTTAACATGTAGACGTACATGTAGTAACATGTAGATATTTCAGAGTTAACGTGTAGATGTACATGTAGTAACATGTAGATATTTCAGAGTTTTAAAAACTTAATCATTCAATATTTACAATTAAGATGCCTACCTTCACCAGCCAGATCAAAAGATTCCCGTCTGGACGATTGAGCACCTCCCATCTTTTATATTGAAATGATGTCTACATGAGGATGTGTTTCTTTAAGAGGATCTCTTGATTTTCTTTTCTCAAAACCTGAAATGTAAAACATTAATCAATTAATGAGAAAAGCAGCTTTTGATTTTATTACTCAATAAAGGTAACTATTGCACTTACCTTTCCTCCTTTTTGAAGTAGTAAAGGAACCAATATATACATATAGTAAAGGTACCAATATATACATGTAGATATTCCAAACATTTCAGTGGTGTAGCACCAGTGTAGCATTGTAAGCATGTGCTTACAAATAATTTTATAAAACAGTTTTTTTTTAAATAAGAATTTTACTATAATTGTTCAGCTTCTGAGGGCTGCCGCCCACCAGACCGCCTGCTTACAATTTACTTATTTTGAAATAAGACCTAGTAGCAGAATAAAGAATTCTTCCACAGTAATGTGTTTTTGAGCTCAAGCAGTAATGTACCGTTTATTCAAGACATTTTTTCGCATTTGTCTCCTCCACTGTTAAAAATGTGGTATGAACTAATTTAAAATAATTTAATAATGAAAGCTTTTACATAAGATAGGTCAGTGCTTTTCTTTGGTTCTTTTATCAATATCCCATTTCTCAATGACAATTACACTGATTTGTCTTCAAGCTATCTCATTTAAAGCATTGTGTTATCATCTATTCTTTTGAAGCACTTCTAGAAAGATAGTTCTTAGAACTTACAGAGAGCTTATCATCTGACAATAAATCAGTAGGAAGTGGCATCTCTGTTACCGTCAAATTACACATACATGTTTGTGTTACTATAATTATATGTTCAAATTTTTTTGAATTCAATCGGATTTAATAAAACAGAAACTTCAAACTCATATCCACTAATTAATTCCATAGGATGGATATACTGAAACATGAACAGACAGATGGATGCAAACCACAGGCACGTCTCTGAAAAAAAAATTGCCTATATACTTTGATAAAACATAAAAGGTAACAAATTTTTAGAGACAAGTGCCTGTGATGTAAACCAGTAATACCCCACCTCTTTTTGGAGTAGGGATATTACAAATATCCTGGAATATTTCATTTAAAGGACCCTTAAGGAAGCTGTATCACTTGAGCAAAAATAATGTTTACTTAGTTCTAGGGGTAAATCAAATGAAATATACCAAATGCAATTAACTTATTTAACATTTATATAACTTTGGGTGTGAGTATGTGAGACACAATAGGGAATGTCTTTTTTGTGTCAACGAGACACAGCGCAATAACACAAAAACATAGCTAGATGTCAAAATATGGTCTTCTATTATAGACAAATGTCCATATAAGTATCCTTTCTACAATCAACAGGGTTATGCCCAAGATGAGTTCCTGAGTCAAGTAGACTTGATGGAGTCATAAAAATCAGGTTGACTCAACTTTTACTACACAGGTGGGCCAATGGCCTACGGGCATAAAACTTTACTCAGTGCTCGGACACAAAATTTTTGCTTGAACACAAAATCTAGTAATTTGATTGGTTGAATTCTGAGTCTAAGTACATAATAAAACTGAGAATGGAAACGGGGAATGTGTCAAAGAGACAACAACTCAATCAAAGAGCAGAAAACAGCTCAAGGCCACCAATGGGTCAACACAGCAAGAAAATCCCATACACGGAGGCTGGCTTTAGCTGGCCCCTAAGCAAAAATGTATACTGGTTCATAGAAAATGGACGTCACACTAAACTCCGAAACATATAAATGAACCAAAATTGAAAAAAACATACAAGACTAACAAAGGCCAGAGGTTCCTGACTTGGGACAGGCGCAAAAATCAGGCGGGGTTAAACTTGTTTTGTGAGATCTCAACCCTCCCCCAACACCTCTAGCCAATGTAGAGTCATCCCGATTGTCAAGTGAGTTCAGTCATCACCATTCGTTATGCTAAATTGTAAATAAATATCTTTGAATTCTTCTGTATTACAAGAAGGTTTCAATCAATAAGAAATCCTTCATCGTCTTTCATCTGACATGTATAAAATGACTTCAAGAATCTGTAAATTAAGTGTAGAAATTCAGAATTTAAGGTTTTACAGCAAATATCGTGCAGTTGAGATGTAAGCTTATGAGATGTCAAAGCTTATAATAAAGGTTGTTAATTTAAATAATTTGTAAATTTTATATTGTCCTCTTTAAATTCTGAACAAATACACCAGATGTATCTCAGGTTGCAAATATCTTATCTAAAATATCCATTTTATTTCATCAATTAGTGGTTGACTGATAATTGTTTAATTTCATACCTTAAATATTGCTGTTTGTGCACTAATTAAATAAAAAAAAAATTTTCAATCGATACTCTTCATACTGAAAAAACTTTTTCTTTGTCAATGTTTAGCTACATTTTTTAGTATTTTTCCCTTAAATCATTTATTATAGCTACCTTATATATTTTCTATACTGAAGTGAACTATTGTCTATTTTAAAAGATTGAATTTAGACAACCCTAATTTTGTTGATATATATGTCATGCGTTTTTAGTGTCACTTCAATTCCTGTCTGTACATAACAAATTTGAAATAAAGTTAAATAAAAATTCCACAGAAATCACAAATCCTTAAATCAAAAACATTACATGTATATATTTTTATGGCAAATCACAAAGGACAAGCATCATGCTAGTGTCATTGTACAAGGTCGATCCCCACAGCTTGACATCTACTAAAATTTCATTCTAGTTCCAATACCAGACTCTGAGCTCAGTGACAATAATAGCAATTATCATAGATCATAGGCAGATCCAGGGGGTGCCTGGCCCCCCCTTTAGTGGGAAAAATTTGGTGGATTATATAGGGAATCACTGAAGAATGACTGAAGCCCCCCCCCCCCCCCCCCCCCCCATACAATAAAAATGACTAATAACAGGTTATGCTCTATTCATAATTCAATATTCTACGGGTTGACACTTTCATTTTATCCAAGGATTTGTATAGTAAGAACCTTCTTACTTTACAAATCCTTGGTTTATCTTATTGACAATATTGTGCCATTATCATTATTGACAACGAATTGAAAACATACCTTAATTAAGCAATATTTGCAATAATACACAAATTAATGAATTAATTTTGAATAGCAAGACTTACCTTAATATATATGCATGCTTCTGGTTGCACATATAATGCGTGTCAATTAATAGCAAAGCCAAATATCAAGTTTTATCACATCACCTTTCAACACACAGCTTCAGAATCTGTAACCTACTGATTGATTTTATGCTCCATTGATCATAAACTCGATGAAGCACGAAATTTAGTCACATGACCGTTTGCCGTTAATTATCTAACATGTTAACAAATCGTTCTCCAATGATAAAGGAACACCTCCATATAGGGTACAAAATATTTTGTTTTATACTCAGAAGTATTACAATATATCAATATTGATCTTTTATGCAGTTATTAATATTAAATTTCTGGGTATAGTCTTTTATGTATGAGGGTCTGGATGGGGTTAACAAAAAGCAAAGAAAATAATAGGCAAAACAAATAAAGAATAGCGAATGATGGGGTGCTAAAATATAAAGAATAGAGAAAAATGGTCAATAAAGAACAGAGAATAGTATAAAAAGTTAAAGAATAAAGAAATGGAGGATCCCTCACCCTATCCAGACCCTCACCCTATCCAGATCACTATGCATCCAAGGCAAAACTTTCACCATTATAATGTTTGGAATGAATTAATATGAATGAATGAATACTTTATTCTGATAAAACAAATGATACAGAGAACAAAATTTAATACATAATAAAAATATACAAATTTGTAGTGCATGTCATGACTACATATATAATAAACACTAAAAAGTTCTAATGAGTAGATTGTTTGAAGCAGAGACATATATACACATATATATGTCTCTGTTTGAAGTACTGAAATAGTTGTTCAAACTTATAAATGTTAATATTTTCATGACAAAAAGGGGGAAGCAATTTTTTTCTAGTATTATTAAAGCAGTAGACTTGCTACATGTCCCTTCCTTATTATTTTTTTTTAATTTTGCCCCTTTAACAATTTTACTGCTATAACTAGGAGATTACCATTATACTGACATCTCCAAGGGCAATCAGTATACTGGAAGTTAACAGTAAACATATAAATTAGTAAGAAAGAAATAAAAGAAAGGGAATTGTAGCAAGTCTATTAAAGCAGCTACATGACAATATATAGTGGTATTCGTCACTGGTTCCCATCGAGCCACAGAAAGGACACACTCTTTCGCTTCTTTGCAAATTGCGCCATCGCCCGATCTCGACTCAGTGGCAATCGGTGATTACCAGATCTAAATTTACAAAATATGTACATGTATAATAGGGCGATAAATCTGAGATATATTTTTCTAAACAGAAATTAGTTTTGAATAATCTACAGCACAATGCCTTTGGAGACTTAAACATTTCTGAATACCAAAATTGTATAAATTGATCCTTAAGTGAGCCTCCTCAGTCATGGGGTTTTTTATTAAGTGATTACTTGGCCGTTTTTATAGTGATTATTTGATTACCAGACCAAATATTTTATGATTATTTGAATATTTGATAATCTAGGACTGTAATGAGTAAAGAGTAATTAGTGATTATGTGATTATATTGGCCAAAAAAAATGTGATTGTGTGATTACTTGGACACCCCAGTGAGGGGACTCTTAAGTTTCTGTTCGACACATTTTGAAATCCATATTGACGAATGATAATTAGTTTGGCTCTGTCAAATATTTGACATACCACAATCGTCTGAAATATTCTTCATAAATTTTAGCCACTTAGATTCATAACCGCAATCTGTGTGGTAAATATGTAACAATTTATATAATAATGAGGAACATTTTGTTTCATTCCTCTAACCAGTCTACACTAAAAATTTATCATACGTATCTTTATTTGTAGTGATATAGGAAGTATTCTAACTCACCATATATACAATAATATAGTCAGGGGCGTTTCTAGGATATTTGAAAGAGGGGGCATAGAATCAAATCTTTCGAAAAAAAAATGGACCTTTTTTTTGCTTAAAAACATAAAGTAATTGTGAAATGCACTAATGTAGCGGTTCCTGACTTGGAGCATGTATATTTTATAGTTAAAGTGTCAGGGTTTGACATTTTGTATGCCGAATTCTCTCCATTATAAGTGTCTATGGTATATTAAAATGATTGGATGGATCTTAACAGCAGTAGACCAATAACGAGAAATTCCAAATTCTAGGGTATAAGGCGTTACTTAACATTTCAATAGTCCTAGGCCAGGATTTTATGAACGGAAGGCGAAATTACGGTTGCCCTGGTAGAGGGTCCATGGGGAAGCTCAAAAGCTCCTGGATTTCAACAATTTAGCATCAAATTATGAAGTATCCAGGCCGATAAATATCTCTCTATTTTAGATTAAGTTCTGGTTTCGTTGAATTACAGTCACACACATGATACAAGACAAACAAACACTGACGTATAAAGTTCTTTCGTCACTAAATATTGTAGGCTTTAATGTGGAATACATGATTGAATATAAAAAATTGACGTCATTAATTGTACTACAGTACCAAATTAAAGCAATCATGTCACTGTCTAGTTCCGATAGGTGGTATATGGTACATAAATAAATATGGTGCTTGAACTTCATGGCAAAATGTAGGTCAATGTCACTTAGTTACTCACTAATGGATTTTGAAACAATATGATACTACCAAAGGCTATCCAGATGGGAATTAAAAATGCTATACCAAATATACATGTTACTGGTATAAATGTACCTTAACGCAAAACCTAAAATGAACACAGAAATACTGACGGACTCTCATTTTCAATGAATCGTTAGACTAGAGTGGATTCAATAGAACCATTTTCAGAGTATGTGTTTAATTAATGAATATGATAAATTGCCATATTCAATACAATATTAGCAGATTACGATAGTTTTTTTGTTGTTGAAAAGGGTGGGGGCGTACGCCCATTACGCCCTCACCTGGACCCGCCCCTGTATAGTTGGGTGTTGATTGCTTCAAATGCGATATGATTTTACACATTCGCAACTGTAAACTTTCAAGAACATCTAAATTTTCTGAAAAAAAACCAAGATTTTTTATCCATTTAATATTACAGGTTCTACTATAAAACAAATCAATTTGACATTCAATAGATAAGTTATTTCTTCTACATTTCTTCAATATTCCATACATAGCTTTAGTTGCTTGTTCTTTTAGATACTTTCTTGCAGACAGGAATGATCCAGTTTTACAAAAGAATATACCAAGATATTTATAATCTTTAACTATTTCTAGTTCTCTATTATTCAAATAAAATTTAGTATTTTTTGACATCCTGCCTTTTGAAAAAAATCAAAACTTTAGTTTTATCCACATTTACTTTAAGTTTCCATATCAAACAATATTGTGAAAAATTATCAAGCATAAGTTGTAAATCTTCAACAGACTCTGCTAATAAAATGGGATCATCTGCATAGAAAAGCAATATCGATGTATATATATATATATATATATATAACCAGTCTAAAAGGGTACAACATCACCAAAAAATGACAATAAACGAACAAATGTAACTATAAATATTTCGGATAACAGATATCCTTCATCAATGATGTAAAATGAATCAGATAAATCTATTCTGATTATTAAACTATAGCAATCTTGAATTCTATACAATAAAAAAAGTGAAACAGTTTCACCCGAACATCATATGTAGAGACGCTAATAAATTTTTAAAATTTCCAAAAAACGACTCAAAGACATGCCTGAAATGAAAATAGTAATTATAGATATGAACTGGCACAACTTTAAAATTCCAAAATGACGTCAGTTAAGATGTTATAACAACTGCGTGTAAATACATTCCCAAATGAACAGCACTGATCGATATAAGCTGGTAAAATATGACAAACAGAGGCTGCGTATTTATCATTCCAAATAAATAGCAGTTTTATAATGAAAAGATAAAATAATAGTAAATTTGGGCTAAGGTTAAAAGTTGGACGTGGATGCGTACTTGTATATCCCTACTAAATGAAAAGAACCCTGGTATTTAAACTAGTAAAATTCCAAAAATTCCAAAAGAATCCTTTAAACTGTAAGAGTCAAGTAAGGAAGCCGGAGTAACTGGAAACAAATGATGTCAGGAAAATGAGTGATGGTAGGGAAAATGAGTGACTCCTTCTATGTTTTTTTCATTTATGCCCTCTGGGGAAACTGTCCTTAGCTTTCTTATCCAAAACCTTTCCCGAGCAAGTCTTTCGGCCCTTGACCAACCTTTCAACAAACGCATGAATGGTCATCGAAGTGACTACACCTGCAAGCCCGACCTCCCCGTAAGTCGTCATTTGAGATCACCTGGGCACGCCCAAGCTGATCTCAAAAACCTTACAATCACAATCATAGACCACAACGAGGGTTGGTCAAGGGCCGAAAGACTTGCTCGGGAAAAGTTTTGGATAAGAAAGCTAAGGACAGTTTCCCCAGAGGGCATAAATGAAAAAACATAGAATGAGTCACTCATTTTCCCTACCATCGCTCATTTTCCTGACATCATTTGTTTCCAGTTACTCCGGCTTCCTTACTTGACTCTTACAGTTTTAAGGATTCTTTTGGAATTTTTGGAATTTTACTATAGTTTAAATACCAGGGTTCTTTTCATTTGGTAGGGATATACAAGTACGCATCCACGTCCAACTTTTAACCTTAGCCCAAATTTACTATTATTTTTTCTTTTCATTATGAAACTGCTATTTATTTGGAATGATAAATACGCAGCCTCTGTTTGTCATATTTTACCAGCTTATATCGATCAGTGCTGTTCTTTTGGGAATGTATTTACACGCAGTTGTTATAACATCTTAACTGACGTCATTTTGGAATTTTAAAGTTGTGCCAGTTCATATCTATAATTACTATTTTCATTTCAGGCATGTCTTTGAGTCGTTTTTTGGAAATTTTAAAAATTTATTAGCGTCTCTACATATGATGTTCGGGTGAAACTGTTTCACTTTTTTATTGTATAGAATTCAAGATTGCTATAGTTTAATAATCAGAATAGATTTATCTGATTCATTTTACATCATTGATGAAGGATATCTGTTATCCGAAATATTTATAGTTACATTTGTTCGTTTATTGTCATTTTTTGGTGATGTTGTACCCTTTTAGACTGGTTATATATTATATTTTGTAGTGTACTGTATCATATTTATATGATCCATCGCCCCGTAAGATTTATCGTTGGCTAT